GGCAACATGGCAGAAAATAGTTTATTTGGTCATTTCAGTGTGTATTACATTGTGTTCCGAAACATCCTGATAAATACCAATTTAAATATATGTACTCTTAAAGTCTACATGATGTTAAAACTCTACATGGTCAAACATAACAGAGAGATATGTAGGTATTCACTGTTGACAGGGTGGGTAAAATTACACACAGTAATACACGACAAACACACTGGAGGAAAATTGTGCAAAGGGAAAGGTTCTGTTTGAGAAGTATGGAGCCTCCATGAATTCATTTCTCACGAGGAAAATTGCATCTTACACAACCTGAACAGAACACAACAGACAGGCTTTTTACAGCTCTGAGGTAGGACACAACCTTACAGTGACGCAGAGAGGATTCGCTCTCATTCGGAGAAACAAACTGTAAAGTATGTAAACGCATGACAATCATATCACAGCCTGTTTTTTTCTTTTCTTTTTGAATACATAAAATTAAATACACAAAATACGCACATTTTAAAATACGTAACTCTGCAATACATAAGTGCACTCATTGATAAACACGTTAAATAGATCATACTGAAACATGCCATGAATACAATCATTGCAAAATACAAGTAAAGCAAGATAGTGTGTCCAGTGTGTCGCAGGACTTTTCTCCAGGTGCCTGATTGTTTGACTGACTTTGTACAACAACGGTGTATTTCAGTCCAAATTTGGAGATTTTTAGTGGTGGTATGAAACTGAAATATGACTATAATGTCTATTTTGCACAACTTTTGGAAAGTGTTTCATCACCTAATGCATTTATTTTTATTTATACAAATAATATCTTGACAAGACAGAACAGAACCTGCATGCAAGATATAAAGCAAGCAGACCCCTGCTCCACCTACAAACACTACAAACTGATTTTTAAACAGTCAAGCAGGTTTAATCTGAAGGTTACAGCTACAGTTGGGTTAATGTGGAGAAAAGACCACAAGAAAGGTACCTGAACATCAAAGATAAACTTAGGGGTCAGGTGATGGATGGTCTGCTGATAAGTCGCACAGGGTGGGCTTCCCGTCGGCACCACGTTGCAGAGGAATGCTGTTCCTTCTGATTTATGTGCCTCAACTGTATAGTGACCAGAAACCAACAGCAAGCGCAGTTTGATGTCAAACAGTACAGCAGGTGGTGCTGACTTACATGGATTTCCCTCCACAGTTGGCAACCTTTAAAACATCTTTGGAGCCATTTGAGGAAAAAAAAAAAAAAAGGAAAAGGTAAAACATACTGTAACATTATGGGAAACATTCTCTGCTGCCCTTTAGAAGTGTTAGAATAATGTGAATTCTCCAACATTGCACAAAGTTTAATAAAAGTGCAAGCCATGGTTAAGGCAAATAGTGGAAACAGGAATACTGACGAACCTTTCTAACTTTCTCAAAGTGTAAGGTGGGAAGTAGTATTGGAATAAAAACAGTTTAGAAATTTGTTCTGACGAAGCGTCTTGGATGAGAGGTGCAACATCTTCAAGAACTTCAAAGAGAGGTCCAGTTGATTTTTACTGAAGCTCCTAGGATCACCATGACCTAGATGAATCTACAGACATGACGAAACAAACACATTTTGATGGCGGACGCTTAGTTTCTACGCTTCAGTTCTTGAATCCTTCTCCAATCCTACTCGAGTCCTTGCTGTCCTTCCCGTCTGGCACAAAAATGTTAAAATCACGAGAACAAGTTTTTAAATGTCAGCTGAAACGTCTTTACATAAGGCCATCTCTCTCGAGACTGTCAGCCAAACTGGATCACTTGTCAAGTCTGCTGCTGAAACGGTAGATTCAGGGTCACCATGGCTTCTCTCGGCTCCACGATCGGCCTGTTAATCATTTCACATTCGTTCTGTCGCACGTTCTCCTCGTTCATCTGCGATACCTCTGTGGAGCCCGCTTCAAACCCGGGCACGGTGTTGGCGACGTGAACCACGTGAACCTTGTTTCTCCCTTTTTTGCTGAGGATGCAACTGAACACTTTCTTGAAGCCTTTGCGGAAGTGCTTGGACACCAGAGCGTACACGATGGGGTTGACGCAGGAGTTGGCGTAGGCCATGCAGTGAGAGAGCAGCCTGAAGGCGTACGTGGTCTGATTGAAAGGGAAGTCTCCATACAGGTAGCACAGTATCACCACGTGGTACGGCAGCCAGCATATGCAGAAGAGCACAGTGACGATGATGATCATTTTGGTGACTTTGCGTTTGGCCCTTTTGGATTCCGACATGCCGTCTAGAGGGTCGACGGCCGTCCACAGGTACTTGATGGTCCGAGTGTAGGAGAGGCTCACGATCAGCACGGGGATGACGTAGCCAAACAGGAAGGTGCACGTGTCCAGCACCTTCCGATTCTGCTCCTCCCAGCCGGGGATGCACACGGTGCTGTTGTTGTACTCAATCAGGTCATAGTAGCTGAGATACGGACCTGCGAAGACCAGGGAAAGACCCCAGATAATCACCATGGCAACCACTGCATTGCAAGGGGTTCGTAGCTCTCTGGAGCGCAGTGGGTAGCGAATGGCCAGATACCTAAAAAAGAGAAATAAAGTAATGACAACACTTTCTCGTCATCAAGACCAAGACCACAAGAACGCTGATAATTAGCGGCCATGCTGAGTTGGTGTGTTACTATGTGATAATATTATGATTCATCTTCTAATTTTTCACTGAAGCAAAATGAAAGTATCATATCAAAGCCTAAACTTGAGGACCTTTTTAACCAGTGACTGCTGTTTACTCTGTGCTGCTAAGATATTCTTTCTTATAGGCTGATAGAGGCAGAAAAGAGATGGCAGACCAAACACAAATACTTGTAGTGGTGTGAAGTGGATGGTTTACTTAAATAAAAGAAGCAACACTAAATTAAAAAACAAAACAAAACAAATCTCTATAACAGGTATATGTCCATAGAGTGGACCGATACCTGACTGGTTAGAGTGCATCACCATGTTGGTATACACACCCTTGAAAAACAAGCATCTTTCCCTATTTACAGTAAGTGAAAGTAAATATGTATTAAGAGGAAAATTAACTTAAAATATCAAAATAACAAGACTTTGGGGCAAAACTGAAGTCCCTGTGGGTACTACACTATAACAAATTACACTGTAGGTTCATTAATTTTGATGCATTCATGTGTAATTTCACCATGGAGCTAATTTTAATTTTTTTTAGACACTGTAAAAAATGCAGATGGTGTTCGAGTTTCTGACATTTTCAAAATAAAGGCAATTTACTCAAAACATCGCCGCTATTTAAATTTCGAGATTTACCTTGTACACTGCTAATGGTCATTTCACCAAAGGTTCAATCATGCGAGAGGAGATTACAGGGACGCTGGCTCTCCGCTAAGGATGCTGCCACCTCCACACTCATTATTAGCTCCCACTGAAGGCTCTGTGCTGGAGGATAATAATTCACATCACAGATGTTTGTTGCTGTCACTGTGTGAAGAACACCCGAGAAAAATATGTAAAACTGCCGACATTATTCACAGAGGGTGGTTTTAGGATTTTCAGTGGGGTCTGATCCTCCGTGAGTCGCATGGTAAACTCACATTAATAGGAGGGAATAGGAGCGTGCTTGGTGCTGTGGCTTTTGATTTTACTGAGCAGGTAGGCGATGAAAGCACAAATCCCACCAGATGCTACCATGAAAAACAAACAACCTGATGTTTCCATGGCACCTCTTTGTCAATAATCTGACACCACATCACATCTTGTTTTTGAAGTTACTGCCTCATCATCTTCTTTTTTGTCCGTCTATGGATGTATAACATTCACCATCTTCAACATGCTGCTAAATGAGCTACTTCTTCTCCAAGGACAGAGGAATACTAAAGGATTTGCAGCCTCTTTCTCCCAAAACAGGGATTCTGGACAAAGCAGCAATACCATGTCCTCCCTTTTCACATTTGTAGGATTCTTCAACCAGCTCTCCAGAAACAGAGAAAATAGTCTTTCTGGTCTTTGAAACCTCAGAGAAACAGGACCAGAGACACTTAGATTTACCATGAAAGGCAAAAGGCAGGCACTTAAAGTTTGAACTTCCTTGTTACGTACAGAGTCTAGGGGTTTGGACACCGACAAGTGCTTTGAAATGTTTTTTCAACTGAAGATGAAAGATTTACGTCTGTTCATGTCGACAACATGCCAGGATGGGTTTTTTTTTTGCTATTCTAAGTTGGGCTTTACCGGATCAGAAACCAATTAAACTGCAGAGCGACAGATTGGAAAATATCTGGTGAAAGTAACACTGATTACGTTTCTGTGAAACCGAGCCATGACTCAGTTTCAAAGACTGCCTCACAAAGTACTGACTCAACACAGATGCTGTTTCAGAATCCCCCCCCTCCCAGAATGATATTTAGCCATTTGTAGGCTGCATGCATGAATAACCGCATGGCACCTTTACTCTAACATGCATGCACCAGGGTTTGATTTCAAAGCTCATTGAAGGCAATGGAACTAAATGTTTCTGTGTCACACTGGATATTTCTTTCGCCGTAAGATCACAGGGGCAGTGGACATCACACTGCAGCAGCAGATCCTTTTAAAAGCTTTGTATAACTGTGTGTGTGTTCTCTTTATTCAGGCTGGACTGTGATTTTATTCCTGCTGGGAATTCCTGGTTTAAAGTGTAACTGTGAGCTGCTGCTTTTTTTTTTTTTTTCACATACCACACGGGGACTGAGGAAGAAAACAGCAGAAATTCATTAACCTCCCGAACTCCGATGTTCCTGCTCTTTTCTAGACTGAGGAGGAAATGACTGTTGAATCCTCCAAAGAGTAAACATAGTCGGTGTGAGCAGAGGCTGTCTGCTGCAGAGGGCAGCTGCACACCGACTGTCCATATTGACTGAGCTGATAATGTTGCCCAACAATGATAATGATGGCTTAGAGCTTACTCTGCCAGGGATATAATTTTCAGCCAGGGATACTGCATGATTGTCTCATAAGATATTCAATTACAGATTCAGCCTCCCTGTGAGGTCTTATGGGCCGTTAACTAATTCTATTAATCTGTTCCTCTGGGGTCTGACTGTCCTTGATGTTCCCATCTTCAGTTGTAATTCAAATGTACCTTTTTTTGTGTGAAACCATGCAGCGAAGCAAATAAATGAAACAAAGCAAAAATAAAAGAATTCATAGACAAAGAATGGGCTAATAAAACTCTCCTTTGTGCTTTTGTTAAGGAGTCTTGAGGCTAATTCTTACAGTTTAGGAAACGAAATTGGAAGTGACACGAGCACGATATGACACATTTTCCAGCCTAAAAATCGAAATTGCGTTTTGAATCCAACCTGTCCTCAGATGCTACTCTCTGTCACGAACATGACATTTTTAAACGTTGCATAGCTTTTACATGCAAATGAATCTTACATAACTCAAACTGTCTGGTAAGTAACAATGCTCAGTTTATTTGCTGCTTCGATTAAGCTTAAACATGTTGTAAATGTTAAATAAAGACCACAGGATCCCCCCAAAATTTGATTAAATACCTTCATAGTATGTGTCATTTTTCAGAATGATTCTGCTTTTACCAGAGGCTGATTAAAAGCACAGGGATGAAATGCTTTTTTTTTTTTTTAATATAAAACTGAAACTGAATTTGGCAGCATAATGACTTCATGATGTGTTAATGGTGAGCAACGGGAATTCATGATACATGAAACAATTTCCACCACCGCTGCACTGCATTTAACTGGATGCTGTGATGGGACGAAACAACAGTAAAGCGGTTTTCCCTCGATGCAAACAAAGCTCTGAAAATTAACCCCTGAAATTAGTATTTGTGCCTCTACATTGCTAGTTTGCACCGTCGTCGCCCTTTTTTTTTTATTTCCCTTCTTTAGAGAGTCATACTGCTGAACGCTGCAATTCATTTCCTCATATTATTAATTTATGCCCTTGAATTGCTGAAGTGTTTGTTGTTCTATTTTTGAGACAGCAGAATGCGGCACCAAAACAGTTTTATGAACTGGATGGCATCCCTACTAACGTTCTGACACTAAAAACATTCTGCTATGTTAAATAGATGTTGGAGATAGTGTGATGCATTAATATGTTTCGTACTAGTATGTGTGTCATTCAATAAGGTTTGAAATAAGGAATGTACAATGAAGGTACTACAAAGACAAATGGAACAGAGGTCGGGACCATTCATCTAAAGGAATAAATGTAATGATTTTAAGGCACGATTAGTAATCTATGTGCATGAAATAATAATTCAAGAGAACGACTGACTTGATTTGAGGTTGGGAATTGCTACAACAGGTATGTGAGCGCGTGGATTAGTCATTTGAGTGGGCGATTTCTAGTTTGACACCACACGTAATTGCTACAAAGAAAAGGAGACTTATCAAAAGGTTTTCCTCCTGCCTCACATTCATCACGCCCTGTACATTTCTGACAGCGACTGTAACACATACAAGAGATACAAGAGGATGAGTAACAGCAGCATAGTAATAATTTAACAGTTGCGATTATCGATTATTCATCTGTTTCCAGCTTCTCAAATGAGAGGAATCGCCCCTTTTCTCAGTTTTGTGTTATCTTTCCTCAGGGAATACCTTTTGGGTTGTTGCAAAGCGACATGAAGATGCCACCTTATTCTGTGACATCGTAATGCAATGAACCATGAAAGGTGGAGTATGCAATTTTTTTCAGAATACACTTTTCTTTTTGTCAGATTCAACAAGACAACCCCCGAGCTGTCCATTCTGTGTTTTAACCGACACCCTAATCTTATAAAACTTTATAAACTTGACAAACTGCTATGATGTTGCTAATAGACGAAATGATGATTCCAGCATCAGTGGGTCTTTTTTCATTAGCACTGGGTCTTTTTCTATGCTCAAACTATAAATAATGAGCCCAAACAACCACCGAATTCCATTTTGTTATCCATCCATCCATCATCTATACACCGCCTAATCCTCACGAGGGTCGCAGGGGGCTGGAGTCTATCCCAGCTGACTCAGGGCGAAGGCAGGGGACACCCTGGACAGGTCACCAGTCTATCACAGGGCTACACTTAGAGACAACCAAGCACACTCACATTCACACCTACAGACAATTTAGAATCACCAATTAACCTCAACATGTTTTTGGACTGTGTGGGAGGAAGCCGGCGAACCCAGAGAGAACCCACGCTGCACGGGGAGAACATGCAAACTCCAGAAAGATCCTGGGTGTCCTAACTGGGATGCGAACTGGGATGTTCTTGCGGCAACAGTGCTATCCAGCGAGCACCTTGCAGCCCCCCATTTTGTTATCCCCTACCTAAATGAAGACATTTGCACCATAAATTGATACAGAAAAGGCAAAAGTTGGTGCATAAAAATGTGTTGAAAGTGTTTGTGTGCAATCATGCTTGTGCATAGGACAAGGGTAAACAAACGAGGTCTGGCAAAATGCGAACTATCTAAATACGCTAATTAGCCAAATATCAACAATCTCTCTCCGTTTAATTGGCTGTTTACCAAAATACTGGACTATTTGCAACAAGAGGCAAGGAGCCTTATTGGAGATGGGACTCTAACAACCGCCACATACTGGGACTGCAAAATTACTGTGTTCAGATATTTTCTCCTTTGGGATTGCCAAGCACTGATTAACTACCTGTCAACGGACACGGCGGCCAGCGTGAAGCTGCTGGCGTACATGGTGAGGTTGATGAAGAAGTGGACCACTTTGCACATGAAGGAGCCAAACACCCATCCCTCCAGAGAGTAGATGGTGGCTTGGAACGGAACGCAGAAAATGATGAAGAAGAAGTCGGCCACGCTCAGGTTGAGTATGAACAGGTTGGTGGTGTTGTAGCCGACCTGTCCGCTCCGCAGCAGCACGGCCAGCACCAGGCTGTTGCCGATGGTGCCGAGCAGGAATATGAGGGAGAAGACCACTGATACGATCACGCTGGTGGGGTTGAGCTGGTAGCTTTCGGACACGTTGGCCTGCCCTCCTGGCCTGCCGAAATCCTCGAAATCAGACATTTTGGAAGTCTGGAATGAGAAAAATGATACACAGGTCAGTGGAAATTCTCATCACCATCTTGGAGCTTTGGGATGTTTTATAATCACCTGTGTAGCCGTGAAGACAAGTGACTTTTCTAATGGTGTTTTTGTGGAGACAGGCTTACGCACTGGTGGTCCGGTGGTTTTAAGTTACAATTAGTCGCCAAGCTTTTGTGCGCCAGATGTTTGTTTTTTTTACTCTAAATTGATCCCAGTCGAGTCACACATACCATCAAACAGGGATGTGTGTTTTTAATTGGCTGGTGGTGTTTTGTCACATGTGTACTGGGAATATTGTGCTGCTGTGGGTGTTTAATTGCAAGTAATGTTGCAGTGCAGCAGATCCATAGTTTTAAGTTCAACTTCAATGAAAACATACTGATTTACTTTAGCTGTAATGCTGAATGTATACTTTTTATTACATTATTTTGATGAAAAGCAGTCTAAAGAGAAAAAGGGCGAAGATTTACAAACGAGAAGGTTTTGCAGAAGAGTAAACTAAGCCACTTTAGAGAAGCTGATTCAGCCCCTCTAATTCAAGGCATTGCATTTTAAACCCACAGCTGGGTCAAGCGCTGCCTTTTGGTTAAACTCGCTCGCCGAAAATGAAAAGAGCAAAGGCTGGTGAACCTTTTGCTTTCAGCCAAGATGACGTCAGAAGTGATCATTTGTTCATGATGAGCTGAGCTGTGCAAAGGTTTCTGCCTGTCAGTCTCCAGAGCTGTAATAACGGAGCTGCTGATGTGCTGCACTTTCACAAAGTGATATTTGCAGTGACGTCAGTGTGCACTCTCTGGCTTTTCTTTTGGGTCAAATTTTCATATTGTGAGTGGCACAAAATTGAGGCTTGAAAGTGAAGAGCAGCTCTTAATGGTAACTCAGACACACACACACATACACACACACAGACTAGGCAGCGTAATGTCTCCGAGCCTTTCATTTATTTCTGTCTTTCAGAGGGTTCAATTCTGGATAAAAATGTTGAATGTGTGTTTGGTTATTTTTCTAGCATTGATTTTACACTATTTCGTGTGTGTTGTTTTTCAAGAACTGGGTGGCAGTATTGAACACTAGAGGGACTTTAATTGAACAGCTGCAGACAGGAAAGACAAAAAAAAAGTCTACATGCTGTGACGAGTTCATCAAATTTGAAATTCTGTGCTTGGGATTTTGAAGTTTTACTGAAATGTGATGATGAGCTGAAGTCCACATTTCTAGATGTGCAGCTCATTCCACATGATGCTTTATCTCCTTTGTTCCTGGACCAACTTTGGAGGGAATGATGAGCAGCTGGTAGCAGATGCGGTGTATCGCTTTCAAGTGCATTTTAATCAGCTCTTCATGCTGATTTTCTGAAAAGAATGAAGAAATGCTCCCACTGAGAAGACTTCAAAGCAACACCTTCTCATTGATCATGAGAGTGTGGCATTTGTTCCTGAATGGAACATCGACTATTTTGAAAAATAAATCAGTTTTATCACCTTCAAGCAGTGGGCCGCCTGTAGAAATGCCAATTTTGTCGTTTTGTTGTAGCCTTTTTGTGAGAAAACAGACAGATCGTATTGAATGATTTGAGAAAAGTTATTATCTAACACAAAAATATTCATTCAAAGCTGTTATCATCTTAAATGCCACTAGAGAATCTATCTTGTGTTTGTAATTTCTAGTCAATGAAGTAATGAGAGAATGGAAACAATAACATCACTGTAAAGCCACATCATAGTCTAAAGAAGGGAAGAAATCAATTTTTTAACAGAGTCACCCTAAAGCAAGAAACAGCTGGATCTGAATTTAACTGAGGATGCACAAATGAAGGCTGCTAATTATCCGACATAAATTAACAGCATGATATTAAAGACACGCCGCATGATTAAAGCTCCAGATATGATTGCATGTAAATTTCATGGAGCTGAGGTGGCATTGCTGCCCTGGAAAACTCACCCTGGTTGGTTTATCAGTCTCTCTAGAAATTCTGAAGAAATCAATCTGCAATTTTTAAATGAGCAAAATCAGAGAGAACGAAATATTGCAAATGTAGCTGATAAATACTAATATTTTGTGACATTATTTGAAGTCATCCCCAGGCTTTTAAAATGCCATTCATCAAGCCTCAGCCAAAAAACAGCTCAGAATTAAATATTAAACATTATTAAACTTTCAGCATCCTTTGAGTATTGGGCTGTATAACCAGACCATGTGCATAATCAGAATCGTGACTGGAAGCAAAATGAAGATTTATTGAATCACAGTCAATGGCTGATAAAGGACACTTCAAGTGGAGAGAATAGAAGTAGGAATATATTCTTATTAACCTCATTCAGAGGCAGGGATACGACATCAGCTGGCTGTTACTGCAGAGGAATTTTCTCCACAGCTTTGTCTCCATGCCAGACTTTAGCAGTCTCAGTCATGGTGTGGCTGATTCTCCTTTCCACTTCCACTATAGGATCGGAAGCCTGGGATTCTGCTACATCTCCAGCTGCAGTGGGATATCACAGCTAAAGAACATGTTAAAGTCCCGCTGGGATCAGAGAGAGCGGGGAGGATAGACAGACGGGAGCTTTATGATGTGGTAACAGAGCATGCTGGACCTGACAGGTTGTAAAATTGCCAGACTTTGGTTGAGCTCTGTGTGATGGATGTGACGATATAATTAGATTTTTTTTTAAAACAGTGAAAACAGCTGAACCCGCCAGGAAGGAGGAGTGTGATGAGGATGTAGCACAGGGAAGGCTGAGATAAGACAATCACCACAGTTTGCATCAATTTACAACACATTTATAATTAGGTGCATGGCATCAAACCCCCCCCTCCGCCTTGTGTTAGGGGAAGATCAACAGCCAAACTTTAGACATCAAAAGAAACATCGGCTCATCAAGTGATTCAATTGATTGTGTATTATAAACCAGAAATGCAAAAGATATTTTTCTTGAGCACAAACAGCAGGATTAGCATGCAGATCATGCAGAGTGATAAACCTACCAGGCTGATGATGGGTGGACAGTATCCACAGCTTCAGCGCTCCTTCTCAGATTCGGATCGACACTCCCAGCAGACCTGCTCTGTTAAGATGCTCATACTCTTTACAATGACGCCTCTGTTCATCCAGTGTACATCGTTATCTGCACTGTGTTGCTGCTATCATACGCGTCCTCCACTCTCTCTCTCTCTCTCTTTCTCTTTCTCTTTCTCTCCCCCCCCTACCTCTCTCCCATCCACCCCCACCACTCTCCCCCTAGTGAGGACTCCTCCTCCACATTCACTTTAATGTTCACACTTCACTGCAGAAAAGGATTGCAGAGCGAAGGTATGGAAGGAGGCTGCGGCGCCGGGCAATATATTCACAATCACTGCATAATCAGGAGGTGCACTGATAAATAACCTGACGCGCACCTCTTTTTCCAATCAGTCTGCCCTCAAACGAGGCAGTGACCTGTGCGTTTGTTTTAATCCTTAACGCGACTTGTTGTGCAGTGAAAACTATTGTCCTCTCAGACGGAGCACAATTCAATTTGGCCAGTCAATCCACCGGGGACATGGAGAAAAATAACAGGTCTATTGTCCGTGTACCCTTGGAGCTTTAATTAGTGAGTAATGCTAGTTCAGCATAAGGCTTTCAAAAAGAAAGCATCCATGCCAGAGACATCCAATATTGCTGATTGCCCCTTTGGAAATTTGTGTCCCAGAGGAGAAAAGAACTCAAACTGAAAATCACTTCTTCCTGCAAACAATTGTTCTCCACTTTTGCAAAGCATTTTCTTCCTTGACCGAGCACCTTGCATATTAATTCTGAACACATTTCTGACTCAGTAATCACCTCATTGTTTAAAAACAAGACCAACAACTTTGATATGTGTAATCAAATATACAGTCACATTTGCCTGCAAGGTTCCAAAATCACACATTGGTTTGAGTAGCACTTCTTAGACTTGAAGCACTGTTTAAGGTGCATCTTTATTCATGAGAACAGTGTCAATAACACACCTGGCAGCTACGTACGAATACAACAAGACAGTTAAACCCTATTCAAGACTTTTGGGGTCTTTTGGACCCCAGGCCATTTGGTTTAGGTGACAGGTATTGTTTTTTTTTATTTTTGAAGATTTTATTTTATTTTTTAAATCTAGAAAGAGGGACATTTATCATGCATTTGGAACCAAAATTATGTCAACTTATCAGAAAATGTATTTAACATAGCATAAAAGTCTATAATGAATACCAACAAATATTTTGCATATATTCTTTGTTGGGGTCCAATGAACCCCGAAAGACCTTCTACGTAAGGCCACATGAAAGTCCTGAATAGGGTTAAAAGAAAGAAAGATTCAATAAATCCTGTTCAAAACTGTGATTTTAAGTAGGATATAATCATTAAATTACACGTGCTGCAAAAATAAATTGATTTTTTTTGCTATGTTTATGATCCGTCTTATCTTTTCAACAGATTGTCACTGCTTATCTGTTGTTTTATGCGATGTTTCTTTGTATGCATTCACAGTCAGCATGTGTCTGTAAATTGAGTGGGAGAGGTGTCAGATTGCATATTGTGTCATCTGTGCATATTTTTATACAGCTGGGAAAACTGCTGCCACGATACAACTGCTAATGTTGATCCAAGCAAACAAGTTTCAGATGAATCGAATGCAAGTCAGGCGTCAAATTAAATGGTTTGAGAATCCGTAAAGGCAGAATAATTTGGGCGGGGGACAACAATGACTCACAGAACAGACAGACATGACCAGTGTCAGTGATTGTTCATTGTGAGCTGTGATTCATAAAAACCATCTGCTGAATAAAAAGTGCCCTAAGTGACAAATTGAACCAGTGATATTACGATATGAAACAATGGGTGTATTTGCTGTTTTCAACAGTACAACATGTGTTTTTCATCTTTACTGCCGGACTCCTGACACATTTGTTTTACATTTTAATCAGGATGCTTCCTCCCTTTCCTCTGACCCCATCATTATACCTCCAACCAGCCACTCATCCATCAAACCGCCAAACACAGCATGACCGACTGGATCTCCATTTCTGTATGTCCACTTCTTATTATGGCGATGACTAACAATTTGACCGCTTGTGGTTTAGTGAAGGGCTAACTTTCATCTAATTTATCTACGCATTGCTTCAACCACAAGCCCGCATGAGTCATTCAAGCTTCTGGGCATCATCTCCATCTCCAGCACTTTCCACTGCGAGATAGAAAATGTTTTGGCCAAATGAACTGGGGTCTGGTGTGGGCTGCCCTCCCTGTGGTGCCTGAAGTTGGCTCAGAATCCTGAAGCAAGCAACAAATTCAGATGCAAACCTTCGAATCTTCAGTGTGACATGTTTCTGCCTCTTCTTGTTGCAAACTCAAGCTCTGACAGGCTGTCTGCACTGCTGTCAGCCACCATCCGTCAGTGGGCTGAATGACACTGGGTCACACAAAGCAGCGAGACAAAGCATTGTGTCCACACAGAGCAGCCACACGTGGAAAAGAAAACATGCTTTCTCATCCGTTACTTTACATTGCTGGGATATATTTGACCATCACAGTACCATTTCTTTTTGCCCTTGTGGGTGAGATCCATCTCTGCAGACTCATTTAACCCCGACTAACTCATCTCTGTGTATAAAAGTCTTCAAACAGTCTTCAGATATGATGTGAATAATGTGTACGCGCCGTTCCAAATTATTACGCAAACTATGTTTTTCTTTGATTTTCCAAAATATTCAATGCAAATGACAGTCACCATAATTTTCAAGTCATCATCCGTTAGAGTATAATTCAAATGTTATTGAACAAACCTCCCAATGACAGCAGTATTTAAAAAAAACAAAAAACTTAAAATGCACTGTTCCAAATTTGCAGCATTAGGAGGTCATATTTACTGAAATCAAAGCTATTTCAGTCAAAAACATCTTAACAGGACAAATTACATTTTAACATAGGACCTCTTATTTGATAGCAACTTCACAATTCTTGCATCAATTGAACTTGTGAGTTTTTGGAGAGTTTCTGCTTGAATTTCTTTCCAGGATGTCAGAATAGCCTCCCAGAGCTGTTGTTTGGATGTAAACAGCCTCTTACCCTCAAAGATCTTTTTCTTGAAGATGCTCCAACGATTCTCAATAGGGTTGAGGTCAGGGGAGGATGGGGGCCGCACCATGAGTTTCTCTCCTTTT